AGAGAGAGAGAGAGAGAGAGATCATAATAAAGACAGGCTCTCGTAAAAAGTGATAACATTAAAGAAACCGACATTTTCCACACCAGTTGATCAATTTTCATTATCGTCATAAGTTTTCTCCCTTTTTTTTTTTTTTTTTGCTCAGCACTTTCCGTGTCCATGTTTGAAAGAAAACCAAAACACATTTATGAGTCGGCTTTATTTAAAAACACCGATGAAAGGCACAACAAATGTAAAATTGAATATACCAATTATCGATTTATACAACATCATAAAGAATTTTTTTGAAATATACACTATGCTCCCATACTTTCTATTTGGAACTTCATTACCCACGCAGGTATACTCAAGGAAAAGAGAAAGTGTGCATACTTAGGATAGCCACAACTTAATTAAGTGAAGGTCAACAGTAGCCAATATTTGCACGGAAGCTGACATAAGTTGTTTCCTTTAGTTGTATGATTTTCAACAAAACATTCTTGTTTGTCAAGGGCGATAACTCTAAGGTTTTAAGTTCATTCAACTGCCTCATAATGCGACTATTTGAACACGTGTTCAGAATTTGAGTCTAAGATTCACTTCCATTACGTGTGTTAGTGTCGAAAAACAAAATACAGCGGCACGCGTACTTTTAAAACGTGCTACGTCCGGAGGAAAAATATTATGGAAGGCGACTGGAAGGAATGCTCCAGGTTGGAAGTACACAGCGAGATGTAGTTTAAAGGCTCAATGTCCACAGAAACAGAATATCACGTTTGTGGGCATATGTCTGGGTGTCTGGAAAGACGAATGATCGACTTAGAGGGGGTAGACTTCGGATTACAAAGCCGAAACAAGACCAACACATCCACCGTGTTCATCTCCAGAATAGATTGCGTCCTGCATCACTAAGGCGGCACGTAATGCCCCTGGATGAAGACGAATCTCAGTTAGGACTGACCAGCCTCAAACGTTACATAAGCTTGAACAATAGCTAGACATAATCTAGCCACAGATTCCCACTGCAAGAATGTATCCTTTCCAAGCATCAAAAGTGTCAGTCAGACATCAGTGCGGTAAGCAGCTACAGGCGGTGCCGATTTTGTGAATTTAAAAATTGGGGAGTTCAATTTGTAATGGATATTTCTGTGCAATAATAAACACTTCAATGAAAATTATTTGTACTGATGACTTCTTCCTTGAAGGGAGGGGAAAATGGTTTGCAAGTACAATATTTGATTTCCATGCACACGTTCGTTTTTCATGCATACATGCATAATTTTGTATATAAATGTGCATGATGCTGGCTGTTAGAAAAGCACAACCACAAGTTACAGGGACGTCCCACATTGAGAAAACCAAGTCTGCGTCCAGGTATATTTTCAAAGCAAAATGAAAACAAAGCAAAACAAAACAAGATAAAGAAATATCAACAGATATTAAACCCAGTATAGTCCATGGTCTCCATAATGTCACCCTATGCTCAGCTACTTAATGTTTTCTCTTTGTTGTTTTTTTGGGTCTTTTTTCATTGGGGAGGGGGGGGGTTGGGGATTTTTTTTTCCAATGTAGATGCCATCCAAAACTTGGTGTGGAGCAGTGAGGAATGCTCCAGGATTTCAAGCTCTCAAAATCACACCCTTTATGTTATATATATTGTTGGCGCACTTATATGACCATATGCAGTTACAAACGCCATAAACTTTGACCTAATAGCATATATATTTTTGTCACACATTGTGTCTGATATAAGTTATCTTATGCTACAGATTCACTGCACCTTCTCAGGGAAGAAGCTGAAAACTAAAGGTAAACTAGCATACAAACATTATTTGGGATGTACATTTGTAATCGAGAAAATGTATTGGCACCACATTATTAGATAGGCTAGATGGCTTGTTCCTGTTACTGTACATATTTTTTAAATGGTTTGCAACCAACGAGAGAAAAGGATTGTGTGAAAAACAATAAAAGCGAAACAAACAAACTGTGCTATTCCTATTTTTCGTCAGGAGAAATGAAAGAGTGTTTCAAAACAAAGACTGAAGCGTCATTTAAACCAATGTGCGGACTTCTGCGGACACTTTTTTGGCTGAGTGAACTATCTTGTTTTATGCGATCTTTGCTATTATTTCTCCTTCCACCTACAACGCGTGTGGTGAGAACAATTATAGCATTGATGATGATTGCTACAATAGTGCATCACATGATGATCAATTTGAAGGGACACATATTTATACCGAGAAGACCCGAAAAGACCCGAAAAGACCCGAAAGACCCGTAAAGACACCCGAAAAGACACCCGAAAAGACACCCGAAAAGACCCGAAAAGACCCGAAAAGACCCCGAAAAGACCCGAAAAAACACGAAAAGACCCGAAAAGACACCCGAAAAGACCAGAAAAGACCAGAAAAGACCCCCGAAAAGACCTAAAAAGACCCCCGAAAAGACCCCCGAAAAGACCCAAAAGACCTGAAAAGACCCCCGAAAAGACCCGAAAAGACCCGAAAAGACCCGAAAAGACCCCCGAAAAAACCCGAAAAGACCCGAAAAGACCCGAAAAGACCCCCGAAATGACTCGAAAAGACCCAAGAGACCCCCGAAAAGACCCGAAAAGACCCGAAATGACCTGAAAAGACCCGAAAAGACCCCCCGAAATGAAGCGAAAAGACCCCAAAAACCCGAAAAGACCCGAAAAGACCCGAAAAGACCCCCGAAAAGACCTGAAAAACCCTCGAAAAAATCCGAAAAGACCCCCCGAAATGAAGCGAAAAGACCCGAAAAAAACCGAAAAGACCCGAAAAGACCCGAAAAAACCCGAAAGGACCCGAAAAGACCCGAAAAGACCCCCGAAAAAACCCGAAAAGACTCGAAAAGACACGAAAAGACCCGAAAAGACCCCCCGAAATGAAGCGAAAAGACCCGAAAAAACCCGAAAAGACCCGAAAAGACCCGAAAAGACCCCCGAAAAGACCTGAAAAACCCTCGAAAAAATCCGAAAAGACCCCCCGAAATGAAGCGAAAAGACCCGAAAAAAACCGAAAAGACCCGAAAAGACCCGAAAAAACCCGAAAGGACCCGAAAAGACCCGAAAAGACCCCCGAAAAAACCCGAAAAGACTCGAAAAGACACGAAAAGACCCGAAAAGACCCCCCGAAATGAAGCGAAAAGACCCGAAAAAACCCGAAAAGACCCGAAAAGACCCGAAAAGACCCCCGAAAAGACCTGAAAGACCCTCGAAAAAATCCGAAAAGACCCCCCGAAATGAAGCGAAAAGACCCGAAAAAAACCGAAAAGACCCGAAAAGACCCGAAAAAACCCGAAAG